ATGAGAGTGACGTCTCCATGACTCACGTGACCTATCAGCCACTAGGCCTCACCTCTTAAAGTTCTCACCACCTCCCAAAGAAAGTATACTGGGGACCAATTCCAAAACATGAAACTCTGGGGGACAAACCATTATCCAAACCATAGCATAGTATGGAGGCATAAGTAGAATGTGGGAAAGCAAGAGTATTGACTATAATTTATAGAATAATCAAGGGAATTCAGAATTATACAAGGGGTCTTCAAAAAGCTCATGGAAAATATGTATTGTGAAATCATAGATTTCAATTTGTTTGTGTATCACTCAGAGGTATATCTAAAAACCTAGCTGTGTCAGATACCTACAGTAGCACTCAGTGATATTTGTTGAGATATTACCTATATTTCATGTTTCCATGAATATGTAGATATACATATAGATATAGATACACACACACACATACATGATTATTTTTCAGTTGTCTCTCCTTTCAACTAGAAAATAAATTCCTTGGTTACTTTGCTGCCATATCTCCCACACCTAAACAAGTGCCTATCATTCTATTAATATTTATTGAATAAATATGTGAATGAACAAAGCAATATTGTAAGGAGGCATGAAATTAAATTCTATGTTACTGTTGAAGTCACAGAACCTACGATCTGTGTTTTCATGAAGTCTTCCCATATTTTTCAGTCACAAACTCTTTTTATTATTATTCTTTTTTAAATGTTCAACAGCTATACATCATTTGGCTTGTAAAGAGAATTTACCCAACATGAAATTCACCTCAGATCAGTCCAGGCAGTTACAAACTCTCAAGCCATCCTCTTTAAAGGGAAACTGGCGGATATTTCTGCTTTGGAGAAGAGGGGAAGGAAATACACAGTGCCTAGAGCCAAAAAGCACAGTTTGTGCTGCACACCAGGTCTCTGTGTCTCTGTTCTCATTGGATTGTATTTGTAACCTCCAACATTATTTCATTTGACCTAATTTCCTCTAGGCTATGTAGAGTGCAGCCTTCAAAACACAGCCTTGCTTCAATATACACATGGCTTTGGAATGATCTACCACTCACTCCAAAATGGTTTTTAAAAACCTAAACGATGGGGCTAGACAGTGGTACAGCAGTAAACACTATTGATTCTCTGAGATGCTGACCCATGTGGGAAGGGTCCAGGTTTACATCTAGACCTCCCTGAATACACTGGGCATGGGTGTACCCGTGATCTGGGCTGGCTGAGGCTGTGGGTAGACTGCAGCATCAAGACCCTGTGAAGGGTTTTCTCTCTCCTTCTGTCTCACTCGTGGAAGAAGTAAATAAGTAAACCTTTTGAAATGTTTTAAAATCTATCAGAGGCTATAGTGGGGACCAACATATTTCTGGATATTGTCCTATCAATATGTAGCAGAAATTTACCAAGGAAGCTGGCGTTGTTCATTTGTTTCCGTGTTAGCTATATAAGATTTTCATATTAGATTTAAAAATACATTTTATTGATCTTCCTTTGCCTAGCTCCCGGCTTTATGCAGTCTTATTTCCTCTTATCCTTCAGGTCACGACATAGCTGTAACTTCCTTAAGAAAGTAATTTAGACTAAGTGAAGTCCCTGTTGATGTTTTGTTAATCCCATAGCTCTCCTTGGGACCGATCATCACAATGTCAGTACTTACCCATGTAATGTCCACTTTAGGGCTTATCTTCCTCAGTAGACTCTAAGCTCCATGAGGGCAGCAGTCAGGTCTGTTTTTGCTCAGAGCTCTATCTAAAAACCTAGCTGTGTTGGACACCCACAGTAGCACTCAGTAGTATTTATTGAGATCCTTAGTCTCAGTGAGAGACTCAGCTGCCACAGTGACTTGGAAACACAAATACTGCAGTGAACACGGTCTTTGTGAAGCTTTGCCCAATCCCCCTTGAGGAGTAGAAGACTTATCCCATCTCCTCACTGTCATGGTTAGTACTGCTAATAGACACTATCAGCTGTCAGTTTGCTTTGGGGAATGCCTCAGTTAAAGAAACAGACAGACTCATATCACAGCCCATTCCAAAACATCTCTACAAGGTCACCCCAGCTCCAGAGTTCCAGTGACATCTCTGAAGTCTTTGTTAGGATGGCATTATGAATCAATGCCCTCCATTGCTCAATTCTGCTTCCTCCACCTCCTTTTCATAAGAGTTGAGCCCAATAAATCCGGGCACTCCCTAGTAGATAACTTTCTTGCACCCAAATCTCCACTTCAGATTCTACTTCCTGGGTTATCCAACATGTGATTGGTCTACAAAATGTTTAATGACCTGAGCTACATGTTATGTTCTGTTCTGCTCCATAAATTTTGAAGATTAGTTATTTATTCTTGCATCCTTGCAGTCCCTAGAGGTTGCCTTTCATATAGTGGAGATCATAAACACATCAAAGTATTCTTTAAACAATAAATATTGAGCTATTAATAGCCTAGATTGACTTTTAAAAAGTCTTCCTATTCAAACTGTGGTCCTAGAACCAGGGACAACAATACTCCCTTGTACTCTGCCAGAAATCCAGATTTCCAAGCCCCAACCTGAATCAGAACTATTGAATCCAAATCTGCATTTTTAACGAGAGCTCCAGGAACCAGAAGATGGCATAATGGTTATGTTGCTGGACTCCCATGTAGTTGACCATGGTTCGAGGCCTGGACCCAGCAGCTTAAAACTCATACTGGGCATGTGTGCATGCATGCCCAAAATCCCAAGAGAAATGGAAGAGAAGGTATTGTGGCATAGCCATTTCCCCTGGAGGATGACTTCTTGCTTTCTGTCTCTATATCTCTCTCTGTCTCTCTGGTGAGCACACATGATTTATTGGAAAAAAAAAAACGCAAAATCAAACCAAAACAAAAAAACAAGATCGTCAGAGATTCATATGTAGATTGGAGTTTAAGAAGTACTGAGGGGACCAGCAGACGGCGTAATAGCTACATCACTGAACTCCCACGTAGTCAACCGTGGTTCAAGTCCCAGACACATTGGCTTGAACTCATGCTGGGCACGTGTGCTGTTAGGCCGAATTAGCAAAATCACCACCATGTTAGGGAATGCTGGGGAAGTTAGCTTAATCACTACCCTGTTGAGTCTTCAGGGACGGAGCCCACTTTGTTAGGGCCTCAAGGACGGGAACCAGGAGTCTGGGAACTCTCAGATAAGTGGAAAACGGGAGGGCCCAGCACCTCCGAGGCAAGGTCATCCAAATCCTTAGCTGAGAGCCCTTATCTAGACCTTGCATTGTCGCTGTCTTTTCTGTGTCTCCATCAGTTAGACCGATCTCTGGACCCTTACAGTGCGTGTGTGCCCAAGATCCCAAGAGGAGAATGGAGGAGAAGGGACTGCACCGTGGTCATTCCCTCTGGGGATTTCTTGCTTTCTGTCTCTCTGCCTCTCTCTGTCTTTCTGACGAGCACACGCTCCCTATTGCAAAAACCCCTCAAAAAAAAATACTGAGTTAAGGAGTTTATTAATATAAAAAAATTATCTTGCTAATTATTCCTATCTAGCTTGCACAGTACCATAAGGTTTCTCTCTAAAATTTTAACATTGGTGTAGTCATGCATTTTTCTCCCATGCAACAAATACTGAGTGTCAAGGATTTATGCTAGCAGGTGGTACGGAGAGCAAGGCAGCTGGATTCCACATAGCCAGCTGCATGGTTCGAGTCCCAGACTTGATGGCTTGAAAATCATGCTGCATGTGTGTGTGTGTGTGTGTGTGTGTGTGTGTGTGTGTGAGCTTGTGTGCCCAAAATTCCAAGAGGAGAATGGAGAAGGGACTGCAGCATGGCCATCCTCCCTGGGAGGTGATTTCTTACTTTCTCTCTAGGTCAGTGCACACACCCTATAGCAAAAACTAAAATTAAAAAAATTTAAAAAGATTTAAGTAAGCCGGTGCAAGGAGGATGGGAGGGTGGGTTGCAATTCAAGTGTTTTGTAAAAAGCCTTGATAAGCAAAGAACTGATGCAGGCAAGGTAATTATGCATAGCTGAGCACAAGCAACATGGTGGGAGAGGAATAGGAGAGATACAAATACAAATGTGGTCAGAGAGACAAGAGAGCCCCTCTCAGTTTTTGTGTTTGTTTTTGAGAAGTTTTTGCTATAGGGTGCGTGCGCTCACCAGAAAGACAGAGAGACAGAAAGCGAGAAATAACCCCTCTGGGAGGATGGCCATGCGCAATCCCTTCTTCTCCATTCTACTCTGGATCTTGGGTACGCAAGCACACTGCCTGGTGTGAGTTTAAGCCACTGGGTCTGGGACTCCAACAGCGGTCAACTACCTGGGAGTCCCAACGACATAGCCATTACGCCAACCTCTGGTCCCTGAAAGCCCCTCTCAGTGAGAGGCTGCTTAATAAATGTCTAAAATTTACAACAGTTGCCAAAAAGGTAATGTAAGTGGTTTTACTAAAAAATTAAGTAGTCCTTAGCTAAGCTGATGCGATTTGGGCTGTGGGAGTGTGTAGAATCCATTTCACAAGCAAAGTCTTGGATTCTTCAAATAAAAATGCAAGGATTGGAAGGGCTCTTTCTGTCCTAAAACTTTCAGGCAGCAAGTCGCCTAGTTAGCATCTACTGGAGTAGTAAGAATTGTGGACGGGCTGTGGCCTAAGGCAAAAGGTTCTGCAACTCCAAGACACTGCAAAAACAGGAAGAATGTCCGAAGTTGCTGCCAAGCCGAAAGACTGTAACCTCTGCACTTGTATTTCTCACATACCAGCTGAGCCCAGGTCTCCACCACAGATAGGACACAATGTGCAAGCCAGCCTTTTCACGCC